CACTCATACACAGAACTATTATTACTTATTACTGCATGTTGCTGATTCATACTCAGAGGAAAAAGTAATTTTGTCTTCAACACCTCTTCCCTGTCATTTAAGGCATATGTTAATGAAAGACAGATTTTGGCATCCATTCTCCTCTGCAGCTTTGAAGCCACAATATAAGATTCATTATAACTGAAGATGCAACTGTTATTTTACTTCTGTTTATATTTATACCAACACCAAAGTCATCTTGTAGGTACCTTTGTGCCTCTCAAATCCCAAACCATATTCCAAGAAATGCTCAACATTTTATGCTTGGATTGGCATTAATATACATACAATGTTTTAAATAAAGATGTTTTCACTCATATTTTATTACTGACAATCCCTGAATTCACATATTTTAGATTATACTAAAGCTGAATCCCTTTGAAGACATTTTAAGGGCTTTTTCAGACTGATTTTTTTTTCTTTAAGTGAGGAGTATGCAAGTGATGGGTGCTCTACTCACTGGGAGGGGAGCCAAATGGAAGCCTGAAGTCTGAAGCCTGAAGGGGGTGGGGTGAGAAGAGAAGTAAACATATGCAGAATGCTGAAAAGAACTGATTGAAAGATTTTGCTTTGTCATTCCCCTCCTTCCTTTCCTGCTTTTCCTTCCCAGTTTGTGACTGTGGACCAAATGAAACATACTTATTTCAAAGAATTACTGGATCTGGAATGAGCTGTCACCTTGTAGATTGTCTCATCCAAACTCCTACCCATTGCTATAATTCTTCGCTTGATTCAAGAGCTCTTTTTCTCCTCCAGCAGCTCTCCCAGCAGCAATTGAGCCTATCAATTAAAAGTGTGCGGAGGAGACTAGAGGTTTTGGAATCCGACAGTTCTGGATCTAAACTGTGGCTCTGTCACTAAAGTGGTGATATCCTGAGCAAGTTAACCCCAAATCTCAGAGCCCCTGTTTTATCTGTTAAACGGTTATAATAGAAATGAATACACAGCAGTTTGAAAATTAAATGAAGTAATAGTTTAATATATAAAAGTGTGGTATATATAAAATACTCGGCACTCAGAGCTAAATTAAGAATAGCTAAGGGTTTCAAGAGGAACTAAGACCCATGCTTTCTGTTTGACTCCGAGGCAATACTTTTCCATGGCATCTTACTGTCTTTCTCACAAGGTCTCATAAAACCACCGAAAAAGTTTCGTTGCTGGAATACTCTGTATCCTGCCCTCTAGACTGTAAATGTTGTTATTAATAACAATACCTCACACATATTCAGTGCTTTAGAATTTACACTGCACTTTCACAACTGGGAAGGGAAAATCCACGCCAACATGTCGTCTACTGATGACTAATAGAGGCAGGAAGCAGGAGCAGAGGCTCTGAAAGAGGTCTATTAGTGATGCAAATGTGAAGTTATCTGCACTTGTGAGGAGCATAACAAACATTAAAACCAGTCAGAAGTACGAATGAGTGATAAATTCCGGTTTCGGAATTCAGCTTTGATGAGTTGGAAAACCATAGGAATACAGCAGAAGAGTTTGGGGGCAAGAATTCGGTTTACCTGAAGTTTAAGTCTAAATGATTCAGATGCCCAGGGGGGTATCTCTTTGCATATGGGTGAGTTTTCACGTACAAATTAGAGTAAGTAACTATTCAGATTGCATAAAGGTAGAAACCTCGATGTGTTTATAATTTGGAGACAAAGCATATGGACCAGAGTCAAGCAAAACAAATAATTTCTCAGAAGTCAACATTAACTTTGTGTTTCAATACAATGAATGTGTCATATTGAATGCAAAACTTTTAATAATAGAAACTGTTAACTTGGCTTTTTTGCAAACTTCTGAAACAGTTCATGTATGAGAGTTTTTACACTGGGAAAATACTCAAAAGAGAATTTCTAGAAGTGCAGAAAAATAGAGGGTGCATTTTTAATACAGAATATTTCATTGTTTCTGTATTGTAAGAAGATGAAGAAACATTTTTTTTCTATTAGAAAGAAAATGGTCCTTTGGAAATTCAGCTCCCTCAGAAGAATTTTTAAATATCAAGCTCTGCCTAACTAACTGGTCCTAGCTTTATGTTTATGAGGAAAAAATTAGAATTTCATGCAGTTATCAAATATTTTAAGCTAATACCCAAGCAGATACATTTGCAACATGAAAAATTATCTTCATGATTTTTTAAAAAGATAACTTGAATTACTTTCTGGGGGTCAGAAGTCTGAAATGGGTCTCAGTAATCTAAAATCAGGTATTGGCAGGGCTGCTTTCCTTCTGAAAAGCCTCTAGAGGAGAATACATTCCCTTTTATTTTTTAATTTATTTAAATCCAAATAGTTAACATATGATGTAATAATGATTTCAGGAATAGAATTTAGTGATTCATCACTTACTTATAACACCCAGGGCTCATCCCAACAAGTGCCCTCCTCAAGGCCCCTTGTCCATTTACCCCATCCCCCCACCCAACGCCCCTCCAGCAACCCTCAGTTCATTTTTCGTATTTAAGAGTCTCTTATGGTTTGACTCCCTCTTTGTTTTTATATTATTTTTGCTTCCCTTCCCTTATGTTCATCTGGTTTATATTTTAAATTCAACATATGAGTGAAATCATATATTTGTCTTCTCTGACTTATTTTGTTTAGCATACTACACTCTAGTTAAATCCACATTGTTGCAAATGGCAAGATTTCATTCTTTTTGATTCCTGAGTAATACTCCATTGTGTGTGTGTATGTATATGTATATATATATATATATATATATATATATATCACATCTTCATTCATTCATCAGTCAATGGACATTTAGGCTCTTTCCATACTTTGGCTATTGTCAATAGTGCTGCTATAAACATTGGGGTGCACATGCCCCCTTTGAAATAGCAATCCTGTATCCTTTGGATAAATACTTAGTAGTGCAATTGCTGGGTCATAGGGTAGTTCTATTTTTAATTTTTTGAGGAACTTCAATACTGTTTTCCAGAGTGGCTGTACCAGTTTGCATTCCTACCAGCAGTGCAAAAGGGTTCCTCTTTCTTTGCATCTTCACCAACATCTGTTGTTGCCTGAGTTGTTAATTTTAGCCATTCTAACAGGTGTGAAGATGGTATCTGATTGTGGTTTTGATTGGTATTTCCCTGATGATGAGTGATGTTGAGCACTTTTTATGTGTCTATTAGCGATTGGATGTCTATTGGATGTCTTCTGTGGAAAAATGTCTATTCATGTCTTTTGTCCATTTCTTCACTGGATTATTTGTTTTTTGGGTGTTGAGTTTGATAACTTCTTTATAGACTTTGGATACTAACCCTTTATCTGATATGTCATTTGCAACTAGCATCTCCCATTCCGTTGGTTGCCTTTTAGTTTTACTGACTGTTTCCTTTGCTGTGCAGAAGCTTTTTATTTTGATGAGGTCCCAACAGTTCATTTTTGCTTTTGTTTCCCTGGCCTCTGGAGACGTGTTTAGTAAGAAGTTGCTGCAACCAAGGTCAAACAGGTTTTTGCCTGCTTTCTCCTTGAGGATTTTAATGGCTTCCTATCTTATATTTAGGTCTTTCCTCCATTTTTAGTTTACTTTTGTGTATGGTGTAAGGAAGTGGTCCAGGTTTATTCTTCTGCATGTTGCTGTCCAGTTTTCCCAGCACCATTTGCGGAAGAGACTGTCTTTATTCCATTGGTTATTCTTCCCTGCTTTGTCAAAGATTTGTTGGCCATACGTTTCTTGGTTCATTTCTGGATTCTCTATTCTGTTCCATCGATATGAGTGTTTTTGTGCTAGTACCATACTGTCTTAATGATTATAGCTTTGTAATACAGCTTGAAATCTGGAATTATGATGCCTCCAGCTTTGGTTTTCTTTTTCAGGACTGTTTTGTGGTCTTTTCTGGGTCTATACAAATTTCAGGATTGTTTGTTCTAGGTCTGTGAAGAATTCTGGTGGTATTTTGATAGGTATTTTGATATAGACAAAAGATTTTTTTCCTTTTTTTTTCCTCTGCCAAAAATCTGTATTTTGTCTAGCAGCAAACTTTAAGTAGGGGGCTGATTTAGGTCGGCTAAGCAAGAGAAAGACTGACCAGACAAGCAGAAGACACTGGTAGAAATGGCCTATTGAGCAGCCATGTGGAATAGGAGGTCTATGCTAGACGGAGCCCAAAAGAGCCCAGTTTGTGTCTCACAGTCCAAATTTGGTTGATGTATTTTTGAAGTTTCTAAAGGTTAACTACATGCTATAATACATTATAGAAAGACACAAAGCTGAATTTTACTGTGCCAGTCAAAAGCCTGGCTTGAGTCTGCTGTTTAGGACTGAGAGATACAGTATGATTTACATGTGTGAGGATGTGAGAATGATTTTATCTTCTGTTGTTTTTAAAACCACCTTAGGCCATGATTTTTAAATTGAGACACAAGAACGTCTACAGGGGTTCCCATAGCAACATTAACTTATCTAACTGCCCTTGTTGTATGTAATACTTTCATTAGTTTGGCTTTACATGTACACTTTAATTATCTAATACAACTGAGTGAAGAGTCTCAGGCAAATTTTAACTTTTGGATTTATTGACAGATGCATGTATAAACAGAAACCTTGATATTGTACTTTTGAGGAATTGCTACCAAGGCAAGTATATGCAAAAAACGTTTGTGATCCTCCTTGCTCCCATGTCTGACCTCACTGCATTCCATTGCTGTAATCTCTCTAAATGTATTTAGAACATGCCATCAGTAGGATGAAACAGAAACAAAGAAACAAACTTTAGATTGCTCCAGTCCAGGGACTAGAACCCAATGTACCTTTCTTTCTTTCTTTCTTTTCTTTCTTTTTAAGTTTATTTATTTATTTATTTATTTATTTTGAGAGAGTGAGGGAGAGGCTGAGTGCGAGCAGGGGAGAGGCAGAGAGAGGGAGAGAGAGGATCTCTAGCAGGCTCCATGCTGTCAGCACAGAGCCCGATGTGGGGGTTCTATCCCACAAGCCATGAGAATCATGACCTGAGTAGAAATCAAGAGTTGGATGCTGAACTGACTGAGCCACCCAGGCACCCCCCACCCCACAGATGTGCCTTGCTATTCAAAGCTGTCTATAAGCTGACCTCCTCCTTATCTATCCAAGATTCCTCATCATGAATGGTCCACACCAAACACACTTGTCTTTCATCATCTTCTGAGAGCACATGTTCAAGGACTAGCCTGACATCCACACCCACTGCCCCCAGAACACTGATACTTTCCCTTTCCATCCTACCAAGCTAACCTTTCTCTTTGGAACCACTATTACTGCTGCTACTACTACTGCGTGACATGTTTGTGACTGGGCAGCATGCCTCTTCTCTTTTTCTTGATAACAGGGTCTTCACTTTCCTTTGAGGAACTTTTCTCCACTCCATACCTTCAGGTAGCATCATCAATGAAGACACCCTACCACAATCTGTCAGGAGATGAATCCATGACCCAAGTTGGACCAATCACATTCTTACAGAAAACTGAATTTTAAGTGAATTCAAAAAGGAAAAAACAGTGGGAACTAAATTTTTCCAACGGTGATCCTTTAAGAGATTACCCATGTCTTCCAGATTTCTGTGGCTCATAACCAAAGTCCTCCAGCTGGTAAGTTCCCTATTTGACACCTGTTCATATATTATCTGAGATTGTGATTGAGAGGCTTGGGATGTGCACGTTTTTCTTTGCCAGCCAGATCCTATTTATGCTCCCTGAAGACAGGGCTGAGTCTTTGTTGTATTAGTCCATATAATTTAGGACAATGTAAGTACCCTGTATACGTTGTATAACAAATGAAAAACCAATCTTAGAAACTCTGTTTTTACAAAGGGCAATTTGCAAGCCAACTTATACCCTTTTTGAGGCAAGGTGGTAAATAAACTTTTAATTGCTACAATTTAAGGATTTTCTTGTGTATAGCAGTTGTCTTAAAGAGAGCTTACAACAACTTGTATGCCCAAGAATAGTCTGAAAATGTTAGCTTGGGTCATACTTCCCCAATTTTAGGAAAGGAAAGAGAAACTAAAATTCTATTTTAGACATTAGTTTCTGAATTGAAAAAAAAAGAGTTTTAGGAAAAACAGACAACAACATAACAAAGAATACACCTTAGTCTTGGTTTTGTGACTGGCCAAGGAAACGAGGAGAGCTGCCTCTCTGCTCTCAGATAAGAGAGAAAGAAAATTTAACTGTGTGAGACTAGTATATAAATAGTTTTTCTCCCACTTCTAAAAAATGGCAGGGTATATTTTCTCAGAATCATCTGACTTATATCAGCCATTTACTTGAATGCTTATAAAATTGAAAGAACAAACAAAACAGTTAGACACAATAAGCCCAAACAAGCTTGAGCATAGTAAGTTTTGAAAATACAGAATATGGTATACTCGTCCGAATCATTTACAAGTGCTTAAAATGAACAAAAAGAGCTCACCCGTGATGAACAGCAGGATATACAAATTGTCCTGTCTTCCCTTTTAAAAATGAAAGATTTACAGAAGTCTTTGAATACTGTAATCTTCTGGTTTGTACCTTACCATGGTACAGAACTCAGCCATGAGAAAGGAGTGTCAATACCAACTTGGAGGTTTTTTGAGTCAAGTGTAGTGGTTTCTGGAATTTGCCTTGAACCCACACTCGGTGCATTTTCACTTGTTTTTTCCTATTAACTTGTAAGCGACGATCAACCAGATTTTGCTTCTCATCTAACCCAGCCTTGCAGAACATATTGTGGACTTCCCCTGTGAGACAAAAATGGCAATTGAATGTATGTGTGACTGGGGCTTGGTGGGGGGAAAGGGAGACAGTCAAGAACAATGGAACATTAACGGAATATCTGATCTAAATTTCATTTATACCAAGAAACTCTCTAGTACAAATTGGCTAAGGAAACCTGTGAAACCAAGTGGGTTTCTTCTACTTTACAGAAATACATCAAGTATACACAGTTTAACATAGCAGGCGTAAATAGGTATACATTACTTACTACTGGTTGCAAATTTCAATATTTTGAAAGGTGCCTCTGTTCTGGTTTTTGTTAGTTTGCAGAGACTCCAAATGGCACATTTTAAAAGTAACTCACATAAGTCTGGAGAAAATCCTTTCATGAAGAATTTATTTGAAATGCTTTTTTTTTTTTTTAATGAGAAATTGACAAGACAAGAGATAGTAATTTTCTGTGGACTCTTACAATCAAATTCCGTCCTTTGGCTGTGGCATGTCATCAGATTTTTCATACCTGGGCTAACAGTGCTTCCAAAATGGAACAGACTACGTCTTCATTTGGGTATAAGATGAAACAAGTAATTCTTTTAAAGCAGTTTCAGCTGGGAAAAGATTAAAAGGCAAAAAGGCCATTTTCAAGCTTTCATGTAGAACAGCTACAGTGTGGTTACAGACTAACCAAAGAAAGGTGTTTTTTTGTTTTTTTTGTTTTTTTTTTACAGCTAATTATTTCCCCTTATAGATAAGCATACCTTTTGTAAAGAAATACGCTCTGGTACCATCTCCTCGAACATAAAAATTTTCAGATAAGCAGTGCCCTAAAAAAAAAAAAAAAAAATTGTGTTCAGAGAAACCTAGTATTCCTTAAAATGAAACAAACAAAAACTTGAAATAAAATATAAACAAGGCATTCTTTAAAACACATGAAAATAATTCCAAACTGAATATACCCCTTTTAAAACGAAGCTGAGTCTTATCATATCTTCCGTAGTCCCGAAATAACAGCATTCCCCCAGGCTTCAGTAACTTGGACAGTCGGTTTATAACACCTTGCATCCTTTGAAAACAAAGCAAGATACTGTTTGCAGAAATCTTGTTTTACATGCCACAGCCTAACCTTCTCAGAGATAAAATAAGGAAAGCTCAATGGGGCCAAAAAATCTAACCCACAAAAATAAGGGCAACAAAAACAAAAATATTTGGTAGAGAAAGGAAAAAGAATACCAACTTGCTAAATGATAAGAATCAAAAGGCCTAGAGTATCGAGTAATCACCAAATGACTGGAGTGGTGACTTCACAGAGCTTGATGTATGATGTCAAAGCTGCCCTGCAAAACCACAGATGATATTTACATCAAGTTAAGGTAGTTCCAAGGCAGATAAACACTTAAGTTGCTTCATTTTTCTTGAAGATAAAAACTATGGTGGAGCTATTCCAAATTGCACATATCTAAACAGAGATCATCTTTCCTCCCAAACTAGCTCCTTCTCCTTTGTTTAGTTCAAAGGTACCATCAATCATCTGTGTAATACCTCAGAGATAGCCTTAATCCCTTTGCTTTTTCTCCTTTTTCACTAACCTTCTCACAACCATTTGGTCATCCAATTCTAGGTTTTCTTTTTTTAACTAATGTTTTTTCTCTTTTTTGTTTCCCTTTGGTCCTCCTTTAATATAAACTTCTACCTCCTTAGGCGTGAAAACACACTACCTCTTAACATGCTTTATTATTCCCCTTGGTAATTCTTCCTGTATATTACTGATGAATTCTTCCGCTTAAAATGATGGTTTTGTCAAATCATCCCTTTGCTCAAAAATGCTTATGATTTTAATCCATAGGATAAAATCTTAATTTCTTAGTTGGGCCTTTGAGATCTCTTACAATTGGTCTCAATCTCTCCAACATCTTTACCATTACTTCCCAATGTGAAGCATCAACTGTAGCCAAACTGTTACATGCTTGGCTCTGAAGCAGTCCATGCCTTCATTCACATGGTTTCCCCCTCAAAGAATTCTCTCCTTCTTACTTTCTGTCTATTTAAATTCTATTCACACTCCACCCCCAGCTCAATACTGGGAAGGCTTTGCTTTCTTTCTTTTATTACTTATTCTTTTCATTTGGCTCTCAATCAAATATGAGTCCTTGTGACTGCTTTTGACTTAATGTTTTTGCTTAAGTTTATGGTCTTATGTGTGACTATGGGCCAGAGATGGCAAAGATTTCAGATCTCATATTAATGCCAAGTGACTGGCATTGGCTGCCTACAGAGCTCTATTGAGAAGGACTCTTAGGGCTCACTGGGAATGACAATCAGGGTACAAAATCAGTTATCAGTGTCTGCCCTGAGCAGAGGATGGTAAACGGCGGCCCTGTGTGCTAAGTCCTTGCCATCTCTGCTTCATCTATGCTACTTAAAGCTTCTAGATTTTCTTATTTTAAAAATGAGGGCTTTGGATTAGATAATCTGTAAGTTCCTTCCAATTAAAACGCTGTTCAGTGGAATAATGGAGTTAAAAACCCGATTTATGTCAGGTTATGAAGGAAGTAGATAGTAAGAAAATGAAAGTAACTAGTAAAGCAAGATAGAAATATAACAGAAAGAGGTGGCATAATTAGATGAAATGCTCTTTTAAAAAACTGGAACATAAGTACATGAAAGGGAAAAAAGAAAAATATTTTTCCTTGTTTATTTTATTATAGGTTATTTTCATGCTGTGCTTATGGCCTTAGGCTTTGGCAATTAAAGAAAACCGTATCTAAACCTTAAAATACTTACTTCCAGAATAAATGTTTTATGTACAGAGAAAAACATCTTTCTGCAATGATTACTAAAACAAGCATGAAACAAAAATGCAGAAAAACAAAGGGCCAAATGCAGCCATATCCTTCTGCAAATCCTTTCTTCCCAACTATCTTTAACGTCTGGGATTGTGGGTAAAAGGATGGGGAGTTGCTTTTCTTCATCAGCCCATCTCTCTTGGCTCAGCACCAACTTCCAGAGCCAGTTCCTGAGAACTGTCGGTGGGAGAGGGCTGGGGGAGATGGACAAGACAAGAATGGGTGAAAGTTCCTTTTCTTTGTTTACCTGACTTGGGCCAACTCTGCTATCCTCCTCTACCTTTAGCTGGAGGGCAAGGAAGAAGAGATTTTTTTTTTTTTTTTTACAAATAGTTTATTGTCAAATTAGTTTCTACATAACACTCAGTGCTCATCCCCAAAGTGCCCTCCTCCGTGCCCATCCCCCCCCCCCCCCCACATCCATCAGTCCTCAGTTTTTGTCAGCATTCAAGAGTCTCTCATGGTTTGCCTCTCTCCCTTTCCCCCACCATTTCTGCCCTTCTTCTCCCCCTTGTTCCTCCGTCAAGTTCCTCCTAATCCTCCTATACGTGCACACATATGATATTTGTCCTTCAAGAAGAGATTTTTTTTAAAAAAGGAGTATTTATTGACTGCCTACTCTATGCTGGGATCTGTGGTACACATATTATGCTTTATTTTATTTCAGTGATAAGGACAGTTAGCTCTTCTTTCGTAGCCTCCTGTAGCTTATTCCCATTTAAGCTGGGATGCCCGGACTCAAGGCCTAGCAAAATAGCTTGTCATTCATTTGTGCATGGAGTTTCCAAGCTGTCAAGAAGACACTTTTCCAGAACTTTCATGGGGCTAAATATACCACTGTCCCAAATGACTCTAAAGATACTCTCTTGCCTTTTCACTTACTACTGCCTTCCTTCTACATGTTCACCCTATGTTTAGATCATTTCCATATAGGCAAGAAAGTGGCTAGGGACGTGATATATCTAAATTTATTTTATAATAATTACCTAGAATGAACATACTATAGAATAACAATAATCTTTCCAAGATATCTGCTTCCCCTTCTTTTCAACATTCAGTTCAAATCATAAGAAAATACTATCTAGGGGCACCTGGGTGGCTCAGTCGGTTAAGCGTTAGACTTCGGCTCAGGTCATGATCTCACGGTTTGTGGGTTCGAGCCCTGCGTCAGGCTCTGTGCTGACAGCTAGCTCAGAGCCTGGAGACTGTTTCAGATTCTGTATCTCCCTCTCTCTCTGACCCTCCCCTGCTCATGCTGTCTCTCTCTCAGAAATAAATAAAACATTAAAAAAAGATAATTAAAAAAAGAAAATACATTATCTAAACTAATTTCAAGTAGTGTTTTTATGGTCTTATTTGGAATTTAAACACCTCCTGTTATAGCTGTCAAATAGAAAATCTTGTTCTCTATCCACCTACTCCATCCTTTTAACTATTCATTCTTTTAACTATGAAACAAAATACATAGACGACATCTTTCTACCAGTACCTGAATGATGCCAATATTCTACCCAGATTAGTAGAATGACATAGATTATAGAAACTGGGAGGAAAAAGTAGCTTCATGGAATGTGATTTTTTCACCAGGTGCAAATATGTTTCATTCAGATTTATTTGAAAATTTAATTTGTCTTTCAAAAAGTAATCAAAGTGCTCATTTCTGAATGAGAAGTAAAATAACTGTAAAGGGTCTTAATGATTTTATAATTGCAAAAGAAAAAGCACATGTTAACCCAGTTTCTTTGGAAAAGTGTCACACTCATCAAAGAGTGGTTGTTGATATCAAGTCTCTACCAGCAGAGGAACGTTCCTGGACTAAAAATACTACCACAGCAGAAAACCCAATTTTAAGAAAACTTACAAATGCACAACCCTTGACACCACACGTGTGTCATATTATACATGAGGTGGCAAAATTCTAAGAGAAGTGATCACTTTAATGGCTGGTAATATGTCTTTCTACTTCTTCTCTGGACAAGAGCTATTATGTGAACTGGGTGCCTGAGTGGCTCAGTCAGTTAAGCATCTCTGACTCTTAGTTTCAGCTCAGGTCATGATCTTCGTGGGATCAAGCCCTGCATCAGGATCTGTGCTGACAGTGTGGGGCCTGCTTGGGATCCTCTCCCTCTCTCTCTCTCTCTGCCCTTCTCCTGCTCACATTCTCTGTCCCTTTCAAAAGAAATAAATAAACTTAAAAAAATTGTGTGAAGAAAAAATCTAAGTCATAAATATCTAAATGATGGTACTAGACCAACCTTAGATAATAAAGGTCCAAGGTTAATCTGGCAAATCTCGAGCACCCCTAGTTCCCTAGAGGGTTTCCTTAAAACAAATTTTTAAAAGTCTTTGACAAACTGGTGTGAAGCCAAACAGATTCACCACCCACTTCTTTTCGAACATTCAGTAAGATGCTAAATCAAAGAAAGATGTTTGTTTCTGATCACCAGGTACAATTTCCCTCTTGGAAGTCTATTAGGCTGTTCTGAATTTGTAATTTCCTTAAAGCACTGTCACTTTTAATAGGTACGTGTCTTGCCAGAATATGCTCACTTCACTCTGACAGTGATAGAAAGCTCACTAATGAAGCAGTTTGACCGGTTTCTTTCTAAAAGTCTGGAGAAAGGAAAAACTGCACTTAAAAGGCTGCGTGTTATATATGGTATAGTTCACTAAGTAATAAAGTCAAGAATTGTCACTTTTGATGGTTTTGAAAACCACGACTGATAAAGGTGCTTTACACATTTGCTTTGCCCTTTTCCGTCTTCAGTTACCTGTCAGGATGAATAGAAGAGAGCACAAAGACCAGAAGAATGACGTCCAGGATCCCATCTGGAAATGGGTAGGGTGAGTCTTCATCACAAACATCATGAACAAAGGCACAACACTGAGCTGCTCTGTAGGATGAGTGCAACTATCATAATAAAGGAATAATTAATAATAATAATAACAATAATAAAGTGGTTAGCAGACTTTCAGCATTTTTCTTAAAATTAAAAGGTCAAATTTTATGTTTCTCCCTAGTGTCTTTCCTCTGTAAATTTGAGTGCACTTTATTTCAGATTCAGTGTTCTGTTAGCTTATTTCAAGCGGCTATAAAAAAATTAAGTCTAACCCTTGGACTCGATAACAAATATTCTTCACAATCCTTCTTTAATTTTTAAAAGTAGAGTAGGGCAGGCTTCGGAGTCAACAGGCAGCATTGCTGGAAGCCGACTCTATGTGATTTCAGAGGCACTGAGATCGTCCTCAGTTTTCTCTCCCACTGCTTGTCCATGCCTCCTTTGGCATAACATACAAATATCCTCTAATACATAATCAAAAATTAGATAATGGTAACAACTGCACAACTCTGTAAATATACTAAAAATCATTGAATTGGATTGTATACTTTATTTATTTTTTGAGAGAGAGAGGGAGAGAAAAAGAGAGAGAGAGTACAAGCAGGGGAGAGGGGCAGGGGGAGGAGGGGAAGAGAGAGAATATCTTAAGCAGGTTCCATGCTCAATTTGGGGCTTGATCCCATGACCCTGGATCATGACCTGAGCTGAAATCAAAAGAGTTGGATGCTCAACCTACTGAGTCACCCCAGTGCCCCTGCACTGTATACTTTAAAATGGTGAATTTCATGGTCTGTGAACTATATTTCAATAAAGCTGTTATTTAAAAAAAAGATTAGAGTAGAGGTGCTGGCTCAGTTGGTGGAGCATGTGGCTCTTGATCCTGGGGTCATGAGTTTGAGCCCCATGTTGGGTATAGAGATTACTTAAATAAACTTAAAAAAAATAAATAATGAAAAAATTAGAGTATACACACACACACACACACACACACACACACACACACACACACACACACACCGTTTGCCTACAAAACAACACTAGAAGGATATATACCAAAACACTCACCTCAGTTCACCACAGGACTCTAGGAAGTGTGATTATAGGTGAATTTTATCTTCCTCTTTAGGTTTCTTTTTAGTATTTTAGAAAATGTCTACCATGAATAATAATTACTCTTACTATCAGAAATTAAGTTCCATGTATTGACTACACATTTCCTTTAGCATAGTTTCCTTTCCTTTTCCATTTCCTAAAAATACTTTTTGCTAAGGTAATGCTTACTAGCTTTTGGAGACTAGTCAAACAAATCCAGACTCCCCACTGTTTCCCAAATAGTCTAGGACATTTTATATTTGTATCATATACTTTCTCAAAATTTGTTTTAATTTCAAAAGTTTTAATTTAATGAGTCCCTATGATGTGTCAATCTGTGCATAGGGCTCTAGGGACATAAATATGAATAAGATCACTTCATAGGACCTGTTGATCTTTCTAGGTGTACCAGTCCCTTCAATTTTATCTTAATTTATTTTCCTTTTTTTCCACTTTATTTTGAATTCAAAATAACTTCTCTTATTTTAGGGTAATATCTTAGGCATCAGGTGATGATATGATTCTCAGAATTAGTAAAAGCTCAGTTAAAAATGGTTACAGATAACATTGAAACATTTAAAATATATTACTTCAACAGCAAATAAATTATATCCTTACATGGCTCTCTTTAAAGAAAATATGAGGCATACCTTCACTAGTTCCACAGCTCCAGAAGCAAAATCACAACAATAAAGAAAGGAGTCTGGAGCATTCCTAAGAAAATGGAAGAAGTATTTAAATCTAGAGTTCACATATACTCAGGTTACAAAAGAAAGGAAACTGTAGGCTTGAATTTGTTAAAAGGTGTTTCTTTTAACATCCAAACTTAATAGAAGTTTGGATGACACCTGGCTTATTGTTTCTTCTTTTTAGATATTGTTCTCTATAATGGTATATGGGTGCCACCATGTTGCTTCTGAAACAGCACTGTCTCAAATACTTATTAATTACAGTGTAACTCTCAAATTCCTGCCCTGGTTTTTTTGTTTTTTAATTTGAGAGAGAGAGAGAGAGAGAGAGAGAGAGAGAGCGAGCGCACAAGTGAGGAAGAGGGACAGAGGGAGAAAGAGAGAATCTTAAGCAGGCTCCATGCTCGGCACAGAGCCTGACACGGGGCTCCATCGCATGACCCTGGGATCATGACTTGAGCCAAAACCAAGAGTTGGGTGCTAAACCGACTGAGCCACCCAGGCGCCCCTTTCTGTCCTGGTTTTAAAGCTCTTCATTACTTGGGCCTACCAGCCTTACATCCCATCACACTCTCACATGGGAACCCTTCAGTGCCATCCATCATCATGGCTCCAGCTTCCTCCCCCCAGTCTTTCTTGTGTGCCTCCAGCCAGCAAGGCCTGTAGTTCCTTGTCACCTAGTCAAATTCTACCCTTGTGCAAGGACTCTCAGACCCCTGTGTCCCTTGATGCTTCAGTCCCCTTAGCGTCCCCAAGAGCCTTCTCACAGAGGCTCTGATGCCTTAATGGGACAGGAAATATGTATACTTTAATAGCATGTAAATATAACTTCTAAAAAAGAGTACAAAAATACTAATATGTTAACTCTTAGTTATCTTTTTGAGTTATTTTCAAACATTTATTAACACTCATGTATGTACCTAAAGTTTGCTCAATGGAAAAAAAAAGACTCATGTATGTACCAAGCATTAGAAAACAAATTAGTAAATGAAATCATCTAATAACATCATAAGAGTATGACTTTTGGAGCCAAAGAGATATGTGTTTAAGTCCTGAATTTGCCATTTATTAGCTCTGTGAATTTGATTCAACCTCTCTAAGACTCAGTTACTTTACAAATGTAAATATATAGTCAGTCATTTTTTGGAGGGGGATGTTTACCCATATAAAAGTCTTGAGTAATTTTAATTGGCCTCCACTGAACTCAGAGAAGTTCTATTTGGCTTTTATCTGAAATTTAGTAACAATGTCTGGACCCTGGTTATTCCTGGGCATGTATATAGTTTGAATTTTGTGGGCCAGTACTCTTCCTGATCATCCCCGGTATGCTTGTATCAAATAATTACTGCATCATGTTGCTTAGTACCATGTCTGAATCACAGAAAGAGATTGGCATGTCATGAAACAATAATTATAAGTATAGTTCCGGCTCTTGTAGGTTTTATAGCTTAGTTGGGGATATGATTGACTTCATCTAGCTTCTACAGTGTTATGGATAGGGCAGACTTCCTGAGGTGTAAGTCTTAACAATTCTAAAGGATGGGTATAGCATTGTTGAGTCAGAAGAAGGGTAAATGGTCTAAGAAAGGCTTAGAGGTGGGAGTCACATGCCAAGGATGAGAAACAGGGTTGATCCTGAGAGCTCAAACCAGTGTGTGGCAGGATACACAAGTGGGCCTTGAAACACATAATTAGAACTTTGATTCAGGAGACATTTGAAGCAAGGAGAACCACTAAATAAATATGGGATACAAACACAAATACATATTCCACAAATAAAATCTCACCCAGGCTCAGATAATACTCTGAAATTCTACTGACTGATGAATACTATGCTCACACATAACTTCTTCATTCTGTGGCATTTGGGGATTTGCATTCAATTTAAGATGTGTCCAAATAAGTTAAAGTACGATGAACAGGATTTGGTTATGACTTGCATTGCTTGTTTTTTGTTCATCTGTCTCAAATAAAAACAGTGATTTACTGCAGCCTGAACCCCTATCGCTTCCTCTGAAATCTATAATTCATGACTCTTAATTTTTCAGGTGGTCACATGTCTTTGAAATTTTTTGGCAAGCACTCAGATGCACAATGTGATATGATGGCTAAGGGAAAGGGCTCTGGAACCAAACTGCCTATGGTTTGAATCCTGGCTCTACCACCTAGTTGTGTAATTTTGGAATAGTTACTTAATCAATCTCTCTGTAATTCTGTTTCCTCATCTATAAAGCAGAGATATATATGGCATCTGAGGTCACTGTGAGGATTGAAGGAATTCATAGAAGTTTCTAGAAAGGTGCCTAACTCAGAATAAGCACCTAATACATGTTAGTCATTATTATAATTGTTGTTGCCATTGCTATTATTATTATTATCATATTATTATAGGAAGATCTGTCTCTGCCTTCTAGGAACTTAAAAACTTAAGAAATTATCATGGTTCTATAAAAACTTCCATATAACTCAAAATTCTTCTTTGGGCACTGGCACATCTGGCTCATTATACAAGGTATGCAGTCGACCTTTGGGCAGCGGTTACTAAACACCCACAAGATATAGAATAGTCTAGCAGCTAAAGGAAAGCATGTGCCATTTGCCATGTGTCCCACCAGGAGAGCAGCATGACCTCTGGGACTGAATTCCCATGCATCAGCAGCCCAAGTTGAAGTCTTGTGACCACCCAACGACTTGCCAGAGCTTTTCTGTAAAATCAGCTGACTGCGTTGGCCCTTCTCCCAGCAAGCAGGTGTAAATATCACTACTAACTCCACATCACCAAGCACTCCCTTGGCAGGGGGTTTAAGAATTAAATGGTCCTTGGAGAATGATATGACCTCTCAATTCCAGGGGTCTAATTATGATAAAATATTCTGGAAATGTAAAACACTAATCCTGTACTCTCCAAAAGTAATAAAACATAATTTCTTAGGTGGGAAAAAAAAAAGTCTAATCTTCCCTTTGGAAGGCTAATCACTGATTGCCTTTTAAAGATGAATTAATTATCTTAGGTTATTGAATGACTTTAAAAAAAAATAGCCAAGAAGAATCAGGGAGCAAGGAAGCAAGAGACTGCAATTATTAGTTGGAGGGAGAAGTAAAAAAGGAAAAATATTACTAACAAGTGGGGATTCAGAGATATTAGTCAATATGTATTGAGCTCCAACTATCTGTATTGCACTGTTGGGCTACCTGGAAAATCAGATTAGGGTAAAATATGTTTTCTACCTCAAGGAATACAAGTAGTGGCTGGAGACATAAGACAAAGAAATGACATGCTAAATAATACCTTGAGATGAGTCATAAAGTAACACATTACCAACTGCCAAGGTAGTAAATTTATGTGCACTGTAAGCTCAGAGATAACTTGGGTGAAGGAAACTGGCTACATGGTATAATAAAACAGGAAACATTGGCCCAGAAATGAGGAAAAGGGAAAACAAAGAAAATAAATACAAAAAGAGAAAAGGCCATTCAGAACTGCAAATGTGCAGTTCTATCACTTCAGCCTGGCCACTTTAACTGGTAATTTGATGGTGTTTGGAAATTACTGTGTTAGGTTTAGACTAGTAATGAAGAATGTCCTGAGTTTTTTGGAGCTACATCATAAGTATTTAAAATTAGTGTCCTGGGGGCACCTGGTGGCTCAGTTGGTTAACTGTCTGACTAATGATCTCAGTTCAGGTCTTGATCTCAGGGTCATGAGTTCAAGCTCTGCACTGGGCTCTGCAATGGGTATGAAGCTTACTTTAAAAAAAATAAAATGAGGGGTGCCTGGGTGCCTCAGTCAGCTGAGCAGCTGACTCTTGATTTGGGCTCCCGTCATGATCCCAGAGTTGTGGGATTGAACCCTGCCTTGGGCTTCACGCTCAGCGTGGAAGCCTGCTTAAGATTCTTTCTCTTTCTTCCTCTGTCCCTTCCACCCACTTGCACACTCTTTCTAAAATAAAAATAAAAATAAAATAAAAATAAAAATAAAAATAAATAAAGCAAAAAAAAGTGTCATGATGTTGGCATTGTGTTAAATGTTAAATTGAGGTGGTAAGTATATGAGAATTCATTCTGTTACAAGGAAACACTAAAAAAAATAGCATCATTAAAATTTAAAATACACATAGAGACTGAAAGGAATTTTACAAACAGCAGCTATATTAGGATGATGGGGATGATGGGTGATTCCCAGCCCCCTGTCCTCTAATGGAAATATTCTGCAATGTGCTCATGTTGATTTTGCAGTGGAAAAATAATGTGAAAGTTATTGTATAAACTTAAAAAAAAAACCCAAAGCCAGAATAGGTAAAAGGTGCTAGAAAAAGCTTTGTGAGAAGTGTCTTCATCATGAAAATACCACAACATATACATGAAGCAGTGAACAGGAAATGTATGTCAGGAGAACACCTATCATCGAGGTCCGTTTTTTTGAGTCTTAGGGCTAGTTGCTGTCACCTTCCTTCACAAAGGAAGGTCTTATACCAGGTGTGGCTCCAGAGTGACGACAAAACGAGGGTTAAAGAATAAGCTTTAAACTCAATTCTCTGTGTGTAAAATGGCACCCACATACCTGAAGGAGCAAATAGATTTCTGAAGTTTAGCAATTCACAGCTTAGTGGAAGGGTCAAACCCCTTGCTCTTTTCTTATTCTCTCATCCATGCAAACACAAGCTTAAAAAATTACTTGGACCCATGGTGGACAACCCAGGGCTGTGAAACATTCTTTTCAGAGTAATTACTAGTTCATGTGAAATTAGACACTAAGACAATTCTTTGAAATTTGCTTCAGTCATTGTTTATATGAGAATAAGAACACCATTGCAATATATATAACAACATTTTCCCAGAATTTTTAACACCCCATACATATGTAAAATTTTGTAGGAGAAAACTTTAAAACTTACTGTAAAGTGTTCAAAATTGGAAAAACACTATTTCCTGCACCACAGCCAACCTAAAATATCAAAAGAATAAACAAATATCATGAAAACAAGATTAAATTTTCTTCACCAACGTTAGATATTTTTTATTAAAAAAACTAGAAGAAATTTACTGAATTTCTAGGTGTACAAGAGTTTTCTGAATTCAAAAGCAAAGGAATAAGCCACAAGAATAATACTGATAAATTTAACTATGGAAACATTTAAAAATTTTATGCACCAAAACTCAAACCAAATTAAAAGGTGACCAATGCACTATGAAAAACAAATTGGCAATAAATATGATAAAAGGTAGAGTTCATTAAAAAAAAAAAAAGTAACAGATAAATTAGCAAAGGAAATAAATAGAACACAAAAGAAATACAAATATCTTCTAAACATCTGAAGAACTGTCTGACCTAGTTAACAATCAAAGACATGCAAATTAAAACAAGGTATAATTTTCATCTGTCAAAAACGAAAGCACTTAAAGTAAGAATATTCTAACCAATGAGGGTGTGGTCAAACAGACATATATTGCAGTGAATTGGTATTAATACAGCTCCTTAGAAAATGATTTGGCAATATATTTTAAGGCATTAAATTTATTATTTTTATTTTTTTAAAGTTTATGTATTTATTTTGAGAGAGAAAGAGAGAGAAAGAGTTACAAGCAGCTTCTGTGCTCTCAGCACAGAGCCTGATGCAGGGCTCCAGCCCATGAACAATGAAATCATGACCTGAAATCAGGAGTTGGACGTTAAAAAGACTGAGCCACCCAGGCACAACTAAAAGCATTACATTTCTAAAATAAAGTATGAACTAGTAAATCTAACCCAAGATAATAAAAGAAAATACAGAAAAGTCTATACCCAAAGATATTTTCTGTAGAAAACCTGAAAACAATTTAAATGCCCAGTATTGTAAAAATAGATAAGCAGAATTAAAGTATTCCACATAGTAAAATATTTTGCAGCCACAAAAATGTTTATAGAGAATCTTTACGATAGAAAAAATTGTTATGATAAAATGTTAAATAGAAACAAAGCAAAACCCCCAAATACGGATATGTACAGCTCAACTATATAAAATAGTATAAATGAAAAAAACAAGTCAGTAAAATGTGAAGAGTGGTTAAATCCCTTGTATATATACCTTTATAACTGGAAGGAGGGGATTTATTTTTAAAAATAGAAAGCGCCTGGGTGGCTCAGTTGGTTAAGTGTTGGACTTCGGCTCAGATCATCTCATGGTTAGTGAGTTCAATCCCCACAGAGGGCTCTGTGCTGACAGCTCAGAGCCTGGAGCCTGCTTCAGATTCTGTGTCTCCCTCTCTTTCTCCCCCTTCCCTGCTTGTGCTTTCACTCTCTCTCTCTCTCAAAAAGAAATAAATATATTAAAAAAAAAAGTCAAGGTCTACACTGGATTACTGCTAATTATATCTCTCTTATTTCTATTTTACTTAAAAAAAGGTAATAACAGAAAGAGATAGAAATTAAGGCCAAAACTTTACTGATATTTAAAACTGCCTTCAAATAAGAAATGAAAACAATTAAAAAAAGAAAATTAAAATCACAAACTTAGAGCCTGATTATACATGTGAGTCCCTCCAGTATTTTTTATACAAAAGTACACTGAACACTTTTCTAGTTAGATTTGATAATTTTTCCCCTAAAAAATCTGGATCATTAATAAAGTAATATGCAATGTACATTTTAAAATTATGTGCCACCTCCCATGTTTGCCCCTGCAGGAAGTACCTCAAGGATCCTAAAAGTAGCACTGCTTCCAGGAAATAGCTCAGTCTTCAGAGGTCCTTGGCTGTGCTCTTTAGAGTCTAGGTTGGAAAAATGAGATCTTGCTTTGCTTGGACCATCTGATGACCCACACCTTTTCTTGCTATGATTTTTTTCTTCAGGCATAGTAGGACAGTGCGTTCTTGAGAAACAATCTGCAGCACCAGTTTTGACATTATCCCACGATGATTCTTGCATCTCCTCTTCAGTTTTTTGATCAACTGGAATAATTTCAGGAAATTCCCTCAACAGCCAATTACGATCCTTAAAAAACTTATTCTTATGAATCTTATAAAATGTGTCCCAATATTTACTAGCTTCATTCTCATACTTAACTAAAATAAAGAGAAAAAAATGATTTATTTTACTATGAATGATGTTTACTATTAGTTACTATTTTAATAACTAAATATATTTAACAATCAAATACTGTTAAATATATTATGTATATTTATAACAATTATATTTAGTACTGAATAACTTTAATATTATAATTTTTATTTATCTGATGTTTTTTGGCTTCTTACAGATTAAAACTGCAGAGTATTAATTTTCTCAAAATATGTCAATGTGTGAGGTATTTATTCCCACCCCTTATAAATCTGCTTCTGTCTTAACAATTTGGCCAATACATTTTTTTTTTTTTTTTTTTTTTTTTTTTAAATAGTTTTTTGTCAAATTAGTTTCTACATAACACTCAGTGCTCATCCCCAAAGTGCCCTCCTTCATG